CGGTGAAGATAATCCGATCTGACCGCGGAGGGGAGTTCTTGGGTGGCGATTTCACTGCCTTCCTCGACAAGCACGGCATTGTACACGATCTGACATGTCCGTATACCCCGCAGCAGAACGGTATGGACGAACGCGAAATGCGCACACTTGTCGAGGCGGTGCGGACCATGCTTCTCCACATGAACGTGCCACACCATTGGTGGCACCTCGCGCTTCGCCAAGCTGTGTGGGTGCGCAATAGCATTGAACGCGCTTCTCTGTCCTCGGGAGCAACACCGTATACTCTGATGTACAAAGAGAAGCCGGATCTCACCATGGCCCGGGTGTGGGGTTGCATGGTGCAATACATGGTCCCGCAACATCAGCGCGGTGGGAAGCTTGCGCCGAAAGCGAGCTGGGGACTTCATCTTGGTGTTTCTCCCGCGAGCAAAGGTTGGGAGGTGCTGGATCTCGCTGCAAACCGCATCGTCACCAATGTGGAGGTGATATTTTACGAAACCCAGTCGCTGGATGACTGGAAAGCCGAGCGCGCGCCAGGAAGTGCACCCAAGGTATCCACTTCGACGGTCTCCGCTCCTTCACCGAGTCTTCTCGTTGAGGAGATTGACGATCCGCTTGACGCTCCGGCTTCGGCACCTGCACCTCCGCACGTCTCCACGTCCATCCCCAGCTCTGCCCTCCCACCGGTATACCCATGTGTGGTGCCGGTCACCAAACCGTCAACCTCCTCCTCGCCTACCGTCATCTCCTCTCCGCTACCGGCTGCGGACACCCTCTCTCGTCCAGCCGCCGACACCCTGTCCACGTCGGCCGCCGACGATGAGGGGAGACATGACGCGCTACCTTCTGCGCCGCGCATCGGCATCGTCGACGGTCGACCTGCCGCATCTTCTGAGAACGGCGCACCTGGTATGCAGAAACAGGCAGGGGAGCACATGACCGGGGAGCAGTTGACAGAGAAGCAGATCAGCGACAGTACGTCGAGCGACGTTGTGGAGGTCATCGGCGAAGCTGCAGGGGAGTCATCTGGAGACAGTTCTTCGAGCGATGTGGTGGAAGTCAAGCTGCCGACACGGCACTCCACCCGTTCCAACTTCGGTGTGCCTCTAAAGAAGTGGGCCGATGTGTGTCCGGTATTCGCTAACACGCTTCTTGATGACGCAGACGCGGATACCACGCTGCCAGAACTGGATCCCGATATGCAAGCTGACCCTGAACGACGGTGGGATATCTCCACGATGACCGTCAAGGAAGCGCTTGCGAGCTGGAAAGGGAAGGCGGTGAAGGCAGCAATGGAGGAGGAGATGCGCAGCCTTCTTGCCAATGGAACATGGGAGCTGGTGCCTCGACCGCGCGACGTCAATGTCATGAAGAACCGGTGGGTTCTTACGACAAAGTACAACGCCGACGACACGGTCGCCCGTGAAAAGGCACGGATTTACGCAAATCTATGGCGCGGATTACGATGAGACGTATTCACCAGTCGGCAGCTACGTTACGCTACGCATTTTCCTCTCCATCGTCGCGGTACTCGATCTGCACGTCATGCAGCTGGACATGAAAAACGCATACCTGCAGAGCAAATTGGACCGAGTTCTGTACATGGAGCAGCCGGCGTATTTCAACGACGGTACATCTCGCGTGTGCATGCTTCAGAAGAGCTTGTACGGACTGAAATAGAGTCCACTGCTGTGGTATTCGGCGCTCGACAGCATACTCATTGGCGGCGGGTGGAGCAAGAGTCAGGTTGACGAAGCGCTCTACTTCAAGTTCGGTGCTGATGGAGTCGGTTGCTGGCTGCTGGTGTACGTTGACGATTTGCTCGCCGCAAGTAGCAGCCTCGAGATGCTGAAGGACCTCCGTGAGCTTCTGCAAAACGCATTCGAGTTGCAGGAAATCACTCCCGTGCAGAAGTATTTGGGGCTAGAGATAGTACGGGACAGGTCCGCGCGCAAGCTGTGGCTGCACCAAAGCGCATACGTGGACAAGCTGCGTCGCCGCTTTGTGGACGAAGAGCAGACAAGTCGCCGCCCGAAAACGCCTATCTCGGTCGACGCGTACACCGAGTTGACGTTTGATGACGAAGAATACCAAGCGCGTGAAGAGGAGGAGTACCGCCAGAAAGTGGGTTCACTCCAGTTTGCCGCGACCACGACCCGTCCCGACATTGCGTACGCATGTAGCAAGTTGGGCTCGGGGTTGACGATTCGCAGTGACCAGCACTGGAGGGAGCTGGACCGCTGCATTGACTACGTGGTGAACACCCGCGATTTCGCCCTCGAATTTGGTGGTGGACCGGACACTCTGCGCCTGGTGGGGTATGCGGATTCCGATGACGCGGGTGACAGGCAGACGCGCAGCAGTACCAGCGGATACGTTTTCGTGCTTGGTGGAGCTGCCGTTTCGTGGGCAAGTCAGAGGATTAAGTGCATGATGCTGTCCTCAACGGAATCCGAATACATAGCTGCAACGGAGGCTGGCAAGGAGGCGCGCCGTTTGCGCTTTCTACTTGCTGAATTTCGGCTTCTCGACGCCGGGGTGCCAACCGTCATCCACGTGGACAACTCATCTGCGATTGTTGTTGCGGAAGGGCTGGGCCTCAAGGGGAGTCTCAAGCACATGGAGAGGCGTTACATCTGGCTGCAGCAGATGGTGAAGCGCAAGAAGCTCGCGCTTACTTACATTCCGACGAGCGAGCAACCCGCGGACTATCTCACAAAGGCGTTACATTCCCCGGCATTCAAGCGTTGCTCTATCGCTGTTGGGCAAGTTGATCTTGCAGACGACGAGCGTGACACTGAGCAGGAATAGGTGCCATGTCCTTCAACATGGCTAGTGCGGTGAGTATGCGTGTGCGGAAACAAGCAGACGAGTTTCAGAATCGTCACCCTTTTGTACTCTATTATTTCCTTTTCGCTTTGTGTGGTGTGCTAACTCCTCAGTTGCCCAGGCACGAGCAGGGCAAGGGAGTGTTAAGGTGAAGCCCTGCACGCGCCTGGTTTTGCGTGTAGCAGCCCTATGCGATGTAGCGAGGTTTCGCATACCGCATACCGGAGCTTCAGTATTCACCGAGTACACTCCAATCAGTGCACTTCGGTATGCACTGTTCAACACTGAACCGAAATGGAGGGAAGTGACGACATTGCACAAACGAGTATGTGCAGCTGTCTGTTGCGAGCACCTGCGCAACTACTCCTGGGCAGGTAGAAAATGCACCTGACGGTATTTCCACCTGATGGTATTTTCACCTGGCGGTGCCAACCTGGAACTGCATACTAGAACGTTCTCCTTGAACAACGTTCTTTATGGACAACGTTCCCGTAGAACGTTCTCGCACACGTCACTATGTTTCCTATAAGGTTCATGTTGTATCTGTTGTAATCAATCAATTAATCAATTACTTTCCTTTCGTTACTGGATACCAAGCCTATTGCTGCATACCAAGCATCCTGTTCTCCAAATACCAGTATCCGGTTTCCAGCAAGTCCGTACACGGAAAACTCGCACTTCACTCTCTGATCGTGCAACTCTGCGCCTAGGCTCTCCCACAATCGCCTATTCTCCGCATGGTGCGGTGAGCGTGGACGCATACGCGAACTTCAGATAGCCTCGAATACGATTGACGAAGTTGTCAACCTTGAGCCGGCAGCCCCATCGATTCCGTATGGTTGGCGAGGGCGCCACTACGGAAGTCATGGACCTGGAGGCGCAGGTCGCTGCTTTGAGGGAACGCCACAGTCGTGGCGAAATCAGCGACGCGGATCTGGAGTTGATGATCGAAGGAGCTCGTTCGAAGTGGGCTCGCGATCACCCACCTCCTCGCGCTGAGGCGGAAATTGAGTCCGCTTCTCCCCGTGCTGAAGGCGAAAACGTCAACATCGATGGCAATGAAGGCGCAAGAGTGACGCGCAGTGAACTGCGAGGGGCCGTCAGAGTGCACACCGCGAGCGTCGGTGGAACGCAAGCGCAAGTCCTTCGGTCAGCCGCTGCAGCGAGTGTGCGTAGTGACGCGCACGGTCGTCGCAACCCTGCACGACCAAGTGGTGGCGGACCCTCTTGGACGGCAAATGCGTCAACCGTACGCGATGGTGGAATTGCTCCGGAATACGGATACTTCAAATTCTCACCCGACAAAATCGTCGTGCCGAAATTGCTTGAAGGGCGTCATGACTTGACAACGTGGGTCGAGTCCATTGAACCGCAATTGGAGATCGCGCAGCTGAAGAAGTTCGTTGACGGCACGGTGGAGGTGCCGCCTGAGGATGACGCTGAACGACGCGCACTGTTTCATTCTGCACAGCTGTTGACGTTTATGGTCATCTCACGGTGTTGCTCGCCGGTCGTCCAAGTTGCATTGAAACTCTGCAAGTGTACCTGAGGAGCCGGGGTTTCCACGATATACACGCACTCGCGTAGCGGAGGGGGCTTCTTGAGGGGGGGGGTAGTGTAAGGAATTTTCTCGATATTCCTTAGCGCGCCCTGCAACATCGCGTACAGCAGCAGCCTTTGTTCGCCCGTTACTGCTAACGGGGCTTCGCCGACTTCGCGCGCACCGTTTCACCAAACCTCGCACTGCTGGCCTGGCCGTGTCGGCCTACGCTTCGGGACTAGCCCGAGCCTCGCTTCCAGCGTAGCACTAGCTAGCTCGCACGCACCGCGTTACCGTTTGCATGTTTCGCGTATAAATGTTCGCTCATGCCTTCGCTCACATTTTGTACTCGTTTGCCACCTTAGTGCAATCCTCGCTACTTAGATTCATTGCACCCGTAACATCTCGTAAATTATTCACCAAGTCCCGAACTTATCGGCAACAGGTCACGCCATGTGAATCAGGAAAATGCAAGCGAGATAGCGACCAATAACAGCGAACAATTGCACAATATGACTATGGAGATACTGTAGTCGCAATTCACCCTTCTCGTCCTCCCGCGACAATCACGGACAGCGTAGGCGTATCTCGTAATCATACTCCCAAAACGACGTACTCGTCGCATTTAGCCATGGCGGCAGCTGCGGTGCTGCCAGCACCCACGCAGTTCAAAGCGGCTCGAGCCGTGGTGGCGGTAATGGAAGCGTACCGCGACGCGCGCGTGCAGTTCGTCACGAAAGTCGGCGAACTCGCCGTCTCGCCTCAGGTGCGCCTTAGTCTCAGTCTCTTTCGCTCTCTAATCTCAGTGTCTCTCAGCATTCAAGCTTCGATCTGCGAATTCATGGCGAATTCATGGCGCTGCTGGGTGAGGTTCCTTCTTTGCGATTCGCGAGCTCGCCGGCTCTATTGACTCCCAATGCGTTCCTCCCGCGTTTCTTCCCCCGCAGAACGCGGAGGCTCTGCTGTCGCCCGGCGCGCTGCAGCTGCTGCTGCCGCTCGCGCAGGACAGCATGGCGTGCGATCCTCTGCGACGCTGTCGCTGGGTCGCCTGGCGAATGTGTCGCACGCGTGGTCGCACCACCTCGTGCAGCGCAACGTGCTGCCGTCGCTCTGCAAGGCGCTCACGTCAGTCCTGCCTTTCAGTGCTTGAGTCATTTCTTACGACGCCTTATCTGCTTTTATATCCGCGACTCGCCAGCTTTTTATCCTTTTTTAGCTCTGCAGTGCAGTGCGCTTTGTATGCAACGCACTCACATCAGTCCCACTCTCATTGTATGCAATGAGAGTGGTTGAGACGGGTGCAGTGCGGTTGCTGGTGACATGCCTTCAGGTGCGACCTGGTCTGCAGTTGCTCATTGCAAAAAGCCCATGCGCGCGGTGAGCGTGGCTTTTCTCATTACCTCTCGGCACGTTCTGTGTTCTGCCCTTTGCCCTCCTATTCCATGTCCTCAAATATCGTGTTCCTTGCATTGAATGGAAGGACGAGGCTGTAGCGCGGATAGCCCTCTCAGTGCTGCTGAGTGACGTGGCACGCCACTCGCTGCTGCATGCTACAGCCGTGGCCGATGCAGGCGGCATCACCGCCGCCGTCTCTCTGTTGGGATCACCTGACGTCAAGACAAGGCGCCAGGTGCTGTCCCGATGCCTGGCACCAATAGTTCTGATGCTCTCAACTCAACATCTCTGCTTATGCATCCCAAAGGCCCTTTCCCAACCCCTCTTTGATCACCTCTGCTGCCATCTGCACCGCCATGCTTGCTCCTTCCCTCCTCTTAACCCTGCAGCTGCCCTTCACTTCTCTCTTCTCTGCCCTTGTCGTTTGCTCCTGCCCTCCTCTGCACAATCGCTTAACTTTTGCATCGCCGCGCGCCCTTCTGCACCCATCTCTGTGCCCCACTGTGCCTTTTTTAACCTCTCTGTACCCATGTGCCGCTTTCTGCTTCCCCTCTCTCCCCATCCATCTACACCCCTCTGCACCCCTCACAGGTCTGCGTCTGCCTCTCTACCATCGCCAGGCACTCCGAAGCCCTCGCCCTGGTAAGCAAGCACTGCTCCAAACCATCCCAAACCGTTCTGAAATGCTCTGAACCGCTCTAACCCGTTACCCCCCTGGCACACCTACTGTCTGCACAGCACAGCATCGTGTCCGCCTACACACTCCTCTCCTCCCCGCCTCCCCGAATCTCAGCCAGTGTTGGACCAACCTGGGGCGTCTGCTCTGCTCTGCCTGCACGACTCATTGCCCCCCAATCGTGCATCAGCAGCAGCGGCGGTGAGGGAAGTGGCGAGGCAGGGCTTAGATACTCTTTTCAACCCCTCCCTACCCACCCGTCTTCCCCACTCCTCCCTTACCCCTCCCTCCCTCCTCTTTCCATCCCGCTCTCCCATTCCCCGTGTCCCCTGCCCCTTCTCTCTCTGATACTGATGGACGAGGGCGACGGCTCAGGCCGGCCGGCAGCGTCCTCACCAGACGCAGCGCTGGCAGGGGCGGCATGGGACAGCACGGGGTGGCATGGGACGGCACGGGATGGCATGGGACGGCATGGGGTGCCATGGGACGGCATGGGGTGGCATGGGACGGCATGGGGTGGCATGGGACGGCATTGGGTGGCATGGGACGGCATGGGACGGCATGGGACGGCATGGCGTGGCATGGGACGGCATGGGGTGGCATGGGACGGCATGGGGTGGCATGGGACGGCATGGGGTGGCATGGGACGGCATGGGGTGGCATGGGACGGCATGGGGTGGCATGGGACGGCATGGGGGGGCATGGACCGGCATGCAGCGCTGGCAGGGTTGGCATGGGACGGCATGGGGCTGCATGGGACGGCATATCCGCGCTGCAGGACCGCCTAGTGGAGGGCCATGCTGACGCCACTCTCAAGGGGCCTGCGCGTGGGCACTCTCACGTGGGTAAGGATGTCTGGGGATGGGTAGGGATGGGTAGGGATGGGTGGGATGGGTGGGATGGGTGGGGATGGGTGGGATGGGTGGGGATGGGTGGGATGGGTGGGGATGGGTAGGGATGGGTGGGATGGGTGGGATGGGTGGGGTAAGCGTATGGCAGAGCGTGGGCTCAGGCGGGGAAGGAGGACGATGACAGGGACACGCTGATGAGGCAATGGGGCACGTGGGTGGGTGCTTCAGTGCTGCACTTGCCTGCTTCCTCCGCCCTTTCTCCCCCCTTCCTTCTGCCTTGCTTCCGCCACCCTTCCAGTTTCCTTCTTTGTGACCCCTTCTGCATCTTTATGGATTCCGCCTTTCTCTCCCCCCTCCCCTTCTGCATCCTTATGCATTCCGCCTTCTCTCCCCCCTTCCGCTATAAGCATTCACGGGGTCCCACAGACTAATGTAGCTTTCTGCAACCCACTCACGCCCACTCCCACCCATGGCCTGACTGATCCATTCCGCCCTCCTATGCAACGTCCTTGCTCCCTCCCGCCTCTTTTCCCTGCACCTGCCCTCCCCTTCGCCCTCTCCTCCTTGGCTCCTCTTTCGTCCCTCTGTCCTTCTTCTCCTGTCCGCCTCTGCACAACCATCTGAACTCTGCATCACTCCAGCACCTCTGTACACCCTTTTGTACCCCTCCTTAACCCCCCATGTGCCTTCTTCAACCTCTTCACACCCCCCGTGTTTCTTTCTGCTTCCCCTGTTTCCCCAGTGCACCCCCCCTGCACCCCCCTGCACCCCCCTGCACCCCTCAGCACCCCTCACAGGTCTGCGTCTGCCTCTCTACCATCGCCAGGCACTCTGAAGCCCTCGCCCTGGAAAGCACCGCTCCAAACCATCCTGAACAGTTCTGGACGGCTCTGAACCGTTACCCCTGGTACCCGCCCACTCCCTGCACGCCCACACGCTCCCCTATTCCCTGCCTCCCCGAGTCTCGAATGCTGAACCAACCTGCCCCTGTATCTGCACCTCTCATCTCCTTCCAGCAGTGGGAGCAAATAGTGGTGGCAAGTCAGGACCTACATGCTCATTCCCCGTTCCCACCCCACCCCCCTTCCGCTCACCCATCTCTCTCCCTTCTCTCCCTAACACCCCGCAGCAAGTGTTGGACCAACCCGGAGCATCTCGCCTGCTACTCTGCCTGCACGACTCACGCGAATCAGCAGGAGCAGCGAATCAGCAGGAGCAGCAGGCGTGACGAGGCTGGGTCCTTCAAGTTATGCCAACCCTTTCTATTGTTCGCCTCCGCCCTTCCCCTTTTCCCCAACTCCCTGCCCAAACCACCCCCCCCGCCCCTTCTCTATTCCCCCGCAGCAAGTGTTGGACCAACCTGGAGCAACTCGTCTGCTGCACTGCCTGCACGCCTCATCAGCAGCAGCGGAGGTGAGGGAGGTATATGCCGGCATATCCCCGTCGCGCTGCAAGACCTGGTAGTGATGGGTAATGCCCACGCCACCTGCAAAGGGGCGTGCACGTGGCACTCTCGCAAATAGCTTCCCATGGGTGAGGATGGGTGGGGATGGGTGGATGGGTGGGATTGGTGGGGATGGGTAGGATGGGTGGGGATGGGTGGATGGGTGGGATTGGTGGGGATGGGTAGGATGGGTGATGATGGGAGGGATGGGTGAGAATGGGGTGAGCACATGACTTTGTGAGCATCTGACGTGAAGACAAGGCGTCAGGTGCTGTGCTCATAGCTGGCACCTGTTCTCTCAATGCTCTCACTTCACCTCCTGCCACCAATGTCTCTGCTCATGCTTCCCCAACGCCCACTCCCAACCCCTGTCTCATCACCATTTCCCTCCTCTGCACCACTCTTGCTCCTTCTCCCTTCTTCACCTTGCAACTTGCAGCTGCCCTCCGCTTCTCTCTACCCCTGTTGATTGCTCCTATCCGCTTCTGCACAACCACCTTGACTCTGCATCTCTACACCCCTTTTGCACCATTCTGCACCCATCTCCAAGTTCCACTCAACCCTCTTAACCTCTCTGCATCCCTGTGATTCTTTCGGCTCCACCTGTCTCCCTCCACCCATCTGCACCGCTTTGCATGACGTACAGGTCGGTGTCTGCCTCGCTACCATCTCCAGGCACTCTGAATCCTTCGCCCTGGTAAGCACTGCTCTGAACCTTTCCGAACCGTTCTGAAATGTCCTGAACATTCCTAAACCGCTCTTGACCGTTACCTCTGGTGTTACCACTCTGTGCACGGCAGAACCTCCTGTCCGCCTACACTCCCCCCTATCCCCTGTCCGCCTACACTCCCCCCTATCCCCTGCCTCCTGAATCTCGCTTAGTCTTGGCCCCCCACGCCCTCCCCTCCTCCCACGTCAGTGCCCTTCCTCACTCCCCCACTCCTCACTTTCCCACTCCTGACTCCCCCACTCCTCACTCCCCCACTCCTCACTCCCCTGCTCCTCACTCCCCCACTCCTCACTCCCCCACCCAGCTGCGTTCTTCCCCCACCCAGCTGCGTTCTTCCCCCACCCACCTGCGTTCTTCCCCCACCCGACGTGCTGCAAGGCCTTAGCAGTGGTGCAGCCGCAGCAGGGCAAGGGCAGGCAGGCGAGGTGCTGTAGTCTGGATTTGCCTCCGCACCCTCTCCTATTTCTCCCATACTGTATGTATCATCCTCCCTCCCCGTCTTCTTTCTCCCCTGGCCCTTAGCCAAGGGTTTATATAAATAAATACCACTGGTTTTTTTTCCTCCCCCGCTTAGCTTTCCTCCCCCGCTTTATTCGGACTCTCAGCCGTTTTCCCCGTAGCCTTCACTAACCCTTTGCGTGTCCCTCCCTCCAACCGCCCTTTCTCTTACTCCTGCTTGGTCCTCGGCCCCTCTCCCTCATCCCACGTGTGCACTTTTTTGCCCCTGCTGTCTCAGGTGTCGTCCCGCGTGCCGTCCCATGTGGGGAGGTACAAGTACGAGTGCGAGTTTGTGTCGATGTTTTTTTGGAATTCTAAAGAAATGGCTCAAAAGGACTGCAAGTCCCAAGGTTAAGGACTGCTAGTTTGTGTCAAGGGGCCTCAGGGACTGTGGCTCAAAAGAACTTGCAGTCCCTTATGTGAGTGAACCATATGTTATCTGCATGCATGGTGTGCTCTCATTGGATGTGTATGTGACACAATTATGCAGAATTATGCACAATCATGCACAATCATGCACAATCATGCACAATCATGCACAACCATCCACAATCATGCACAACCATCCACAATCATGCACAACCATGCACAACCATGCATAAACATCCACAATCATGCACAACCATCCACAATCATCCACAATCATGCACAACCATCCACAATCATGCACAACCATGCACAACCATGCACAATCATGCACAACCATGCACAACCATGCACAACCATGCACAACCATGCACAATCATGCACAACCATGCACAATCATGCACAACCATGCACAACCATGCAGAACCATGCACAACCATGCACAATCATGCACAACCATGCACAATCATGCACAATCATGCACAACCATCCACAATCATGCACAACCATGCACAACCATGCACAACCATGCATAATCATCCACGATCATCCACAACCATGCGCGATCTTTCAGACCCAGCAATAATGAATGCGAGCTGGTGTCAGGGGACCTGTCATCCCATACGACTCTGACTGAGTCCCGCATGTGAGCCATATGAATTTGCTCATT